CGGCGTCAGCATCCTCTCTCCTCTTTCCCATGTGTCACTCGCGATTTTTGCAAAGAGGAAACGAATATAAATCACTCTGGAAACATACATTTCTTCCAGCATCGCGATAATCGGTTGTTATGTATCCGTATTCAGTACGTTCTGACACGAGGGAAAACCCAGGAGAAAATATAATGATAAGGATTAGCTAAATATAACGAATGATTCTAATGACTTCGAAGAGGGAGAACTTAGGAGAAAATATAATGATAAGGATTAGCTAAATATAACGAATGATTTTAATGACTTCGAAGAGGGAAAACTTAGGAGAAAATATAATGATAAGGATTAGCTAAATATAACGAATGATTCTAATGACTTCGAAGAGGGAGAACTTAGGAGAAAATATAATGATAAGGATTAGCTAAATATAACGAATGATTCTAATGACTTCGAAGAGGGAAAACTTAGGAGAAAATATAATGATAAGGATTAGCTAAATATAACGAATGATTTTAATGACTTCGAAGAGGGAGAACTTAGGAGAAAATATAATGATAAGGATTAGCTAAATATAACGAATGATTCTAATGACTTCGAAGAGGGAAAACTTAGGAGAAAATATAATGATAAGGATTAGCTAAATATAACGAATGATTTTAATGACTTCGAAGAGGGAGAACTTAGGAGAAAATATAATGATAAGGATTAGCTAAATATAACGAATGATTCTAATGACTTCGAAGAGGGAAAACTTAGGAGAAAATATAATGATAAGGATTAGCTAAATATAACGAATGATTTTAATGACTTCGAAGAGGGAGAACTTAGGAGAAAATATAATGATAAGGATTAGCTAAATATAACGAATGATTCTAATGACTTCGAAGAGGGAAAACTTAGGAGAAAATATAATGATAAGGATTAGCTAAATATAACGAATGATTTTAATGACTTCGAAGAGGGAGAACTTAGGAGAAAATATAATGATAAGGATTAGCTAAATATAACGAATGATTCTAATAACTTCGAAGAACTTCTTAATATAAGACGATATGAGAATAAAGAGATGTATTCTGCCAATATAACGAGAAAGATACGTGATGCGGATAAACTCAAATTGGAACATACAAAGTTGCATATTGAGAAAAAATATTTGAACATTTTTTTGTGGGATATAAAATTTATTTCTGTGAAGAAAACTTTTGTCCTACAAATAAATTTTTAATTATTTTTTCTCAATGCATATATTTGTATTTATACGAGTACTTTAGAAACTTCAGAACTATATTTTCAAACGGACTTTTAACTAAGCATTAATTAAGTTCAGTAGACAGCGTGTCAACAGAATTACGATCGACATTATTTGCGAGAGTGCGAGAGAAAAAGGGAGAACGAAATTTCGAATTTTAAATTACCAGAAATCAAATGAAATACGGGTTTTGAATTTTTTGCTAAACACTAAGGACACGAATCTTTAACGTATCTTTGCGAAACAATATCATGAGAACGCTAAAAGTCATTTAGCGCTTACCATAATAACGTTGCTGTGACTCGAGGCGCTTACGGTCAAGGATGCTGCCGTGGAGCAGGATCCCCGGCAGAAGTACGCGTGATATCCGCTCGGGTGTAGTATCCAATCGCTCCAGCCGATATCCACGAAATTAATGTAAAGCTCGTCTCTGCAGCACTCCTTCATTTCGGGCTGACAGTTCGAGTTCCTCTTAGGCCTGTTCCGCTGCGGCAATGGCGCCGTGTGGATCACGAGGAAGGGCTTTAGAGTCATCTTGACGGATACCGGAGCAGTGTTGCGATTATCCGAGCAAGTGTTGCAGGTTATTTGAATTGTGTGGTTCAATCGATGCCGATTTACCCATTTCTTCACCATGAAATCTACACTCGTTTCCACCCAGCCCTCTGAAAGCGATTCGTAACACGAGATCTTGATAGTTGATAGGTTGATGGATAGGCACGAATATAATAGTGATATAGAGTGGAGTAGTGTCGCGCAATGTGCTACAGAGAATCTCGCACGATTTGATATCTCGATTTGAATATATGACTGCTCTTAAGGGGATGCTGAAGTCGATGACGAACTCGAACAATGTCGATAATGCAGACACGATCGTCACTAACATAATTACGCTATCCTTTTCGTATTTCTTGTATATACAGAACTTGTATGAGTGTATGTTGCTTTGTTTTATCATAAGGTGAGTTTTTTAATTCATCGATGGATCCATTGCATGATGCGTAAATACAGCGAAACGATGCATTTGCGCATCATGCGATGGATCCATCAATGAATTAAAAAACTCGACCATACTCAACGGAAAACCTAACCATATGTGTAGAAATCTTTCTACAAACTTTTTCGATATTCTTAAGCTTCCAAATGCAGATACGAAGATAGAGCAATGTTCTTCAAAATTTTTCTGTTTGGAGCATCCGCACTTTCAGTATGTACAAGTTGTAGAACTTGGTTTTAGATTAGGCAAATATTGCGCTAACTGACAGCTTGAGATTTTACATTAAAAATTTTTTGTTCGTTTTTATCACATATCGAGCAATGCTCTTATTTATTTTTGCACGTATTTTCATTGCGTAAAAGCATTTGTAATTCTGTGTAACCAACACGATGTAAATTTAGCAAAATAATGTCAGTATTCTGTCGGTAAAGTTTTCAGCTTCAACATCCCCTTAAGCGAAGTAATAAATGCCTGAATATGTATCTAACTCTAGACATTCTTATTGTTTTGGTTTTTAAACATGAATATCTAAATTTTCAACAGAAAGAATATACATACATATATTGGATATACATGTATATTGTATGTTGGAAGAGAAGCATTGAATATTCACATTTAAAGACTAAAACATAAAGAATGTTCAGGATGTTAGGTCCTGAACATGCATTGGTGTTTTTACCTCAGAGGACGGTTCGTGTCCAGGAAAATGCAATTAGTACTAAATTCGTTGCTCTCCGGCTGATTAATTTTTGCGACGAGGACTTCAGGCTCTACACTTGGATTCTTTAAATTTCAATCCAACTTTTTCGGGACGATGAACGCGACTTTCGAGTCGAGACTTCGAAGTGACATTTTTCTGCTCTAACTTTTCGTTTAACGATTGATCCCCTTTCCCCCTCTCCTCCAATCGTATCTCAATAGCAATTCGTATTAGGAGAGTTAGGAACCGCTCGTGATATCACGATATCAGAAAATTATCTTTTATCGTTCGTATGAAATTTTCGGCGACGGGTGAAATTGTGATGTGCTGGCGAGAGACGAGCTCGCAAAGTGCCTGCAGTGATGGGGTAACGAAATTTCGCGGCGGAAGATTTCTATGCGGTGTGGATTCGTGACGAACGGACGGACGGACGGATAGATAGACGGGGGGAGGGATTCCGCTCGCCATTTACCTACCTTCAATATCGGTCTCGAAGATTGCCATGACGGTGTTCTTTTCGAAGCTGCCACCCTGGTCCCAGTGATCGAGCTCGGATAGCACGAAGGTCTGGTTGAGATAGTCGTTTTCATCGTACTCCTTGTAGAACCAGAGCTGCGCCGAGGTCACGTCGACGAAATGCATCTCGTTCGGCAGGTAAAACGTGAAACAGGCCGCATTGAACTCTCCCAGATGATTCGAGCTTTGACAGCCTTTCATAGCATCAGCTATACCTGCAACACGCGAAATTGCACGGAATTGGATCATATTTTTCTCGAGGTAGAGTGTAACAAAGTCATCGATATTGTGAGATTTTAATTCGAAAAGATTTTAATTCGAAAAGAAATCTGCTTACACTTAATCTTCATCAGATGTTTCAATCTCCTTGAAGTGTTTGAACTTGGAATACGCATGATTTACATTATATCGTGATATATAAAAATATTTGGAACGTGGAAATTGATATCTGATGAAAATAAGCGGCATAATCTGCGGCATAATTATTAGCTCGATCAGTTGGCATATTTGTCATAACAAAATTACGAGTTTTATTATATTTATTTGACGATTATTTTGATTAGATTTTAACACTTTAAGGTCTATATCAATAATTGTTACTTGAAATTTGCCTTAGGTAAGATACTTAGATTTGAGTTTAGAGTTATATGTGAATTTTTTAATTGAATCGCGATCACAAATATGTATTACATAATTCGAATAAGAAACTCAGATCTAACTCTACACTTAGATCTGAGTATTTTATGTAGGAGAAGTTTCAAGTAACGACTATTAATACGAGCCTAGGTGTAAACATTTCGAATTTTGCGAGGAAAAAAATATTTTTTGGTTATTTTCTTTTTATAAAAATATAAAACGGTCGCGACAATATCGTTCTCTTCTGCTTATTTCGTTTTTGGTCCTTCTGATAATTTTAATATTCCTTATTTAGCCTGAGAGCGTCATATGGCTATCCGGTTACCTCTCTGCCATGACGAACGCGTATATATGCGGGCTATCTCATTACAAACTAATTTAGTATGCCGACGAACGACATTGGAGACTCAGTTATTCGAGACTTTTGATAGTGCGCCTTTGGCTGCGCGATCGGCCTGCAATTTACAGCGGTGCTCGAAGCAAGCCTCAAATGGAACCACAATTATCTGGAAAAGTGCGCTTTAAAAGGCTCTCATAGTCGGGACAAAGTGCGGGAAAAGATATCTCTGAGCGAGCGTGTGCGATAAATGATTCTGAAGTTAAACAGAATTTCTATCGAACTTCTATCGAATCACTCGTGCATGATAAAAGAAGACCGATGACTATTCCGAAATTAATGCGAAAACATACTGTAGTAACTATTCGTACGATTGCTTGAATTGTCTGGACGAAACGTCGTAAGATATGCAAATTATTTTGATATTTTGAGGAATTTAATATGTATTTCGGCGAAATGAGTATCGCGCAGAATTAACCGGATAGCCATATGACGCTCTCAGGCTAAATAAGAAATATTAAAATTATCAGAAGGACAAAAAAGCGAGACAAGTGGAGGAGAACGATATTATCACGCGCATTTTATATTTCTAAAAACCGCGACGAAAAAAATAAATTTCTTTTCTCGCAATTTATAAAATCGAAATGTATAGAGTGTTGAACATTTAATCAAAATGATCGTATTGTCTGTTGCCTTTACGTCGATCAAATTGGTAAAAGTCCTCGTGGAGAATCAAAAGGAAATCAATCTATGTAAATTGTTATTTTTTTCTTTTTTCGAGTCCTTTTGACATTGTTCCATAAAATGTTCCCTGACAATTTTCATGTCGAATTTGTTGAGTCCTGTCCGCGACTCGGAAAATCGGCGTGAAAAACGCGCGTCAAACTGCGCCGACGCGTACGTGTCGATTGTTCCGCGACAGTCCGCGATGCAACGCACTATCAAGCGCGTGGAAATTATTTCCGGGCGGATTCTTGGGCGATCAGCGTGTCCGATTGATCGCCACTTCCGCATGATTTATAGCCGGGATTATGCAACGCCAGGCGTCAGAGTGAATCCATATCGTTGCACAATGCGTGCCAAAGCGTCAGCGGTTACATTTACAAGCGCGCTACATTTTTACCATCCGCTTGTTGTTTATCCGCTGTTTAGTATTTAAATAATAACCCCTACCATGCACCCTTGGTGAAGATACGCACGAGTAGAAAAATCGTCTTTCACTGACGTCACCGAGTTCGAAAAGTGCGCGCGCGATGTTTTAAACGGAATATCAAACTTTCTCTCTGCAATTCCTGAAAAATGTCGATTGCAAAATCGAGGATATTCTTGCGTTGATAATTTTGATCGTGATGAATCACGAAATTTATTGCTATGTGTGACGCAACGTTCGTTAACAGATCAAATAAGAAAGTGGCGAGATTCTTTTCTTTTCTTATGAAACATTTCATGCGTGATAAACGGTGTATAATGCTCTAATTAATTCTCAAAAAGTATGATCGTACCATACGAGGTTATAAACCGTTCCGTTGGAGATTCGTTCGTATTAGCCTTCCACACTCTTGCAGTTTTTCATTTACACACAGCGTATATTCGATTTCCGGGGTGAATTATTCGCGGAACGAATTCCACGTAGCTTCAGGAAATTTTCGAACATGTACTACTTTCCGGTGTCGCGGCGGAATTCGACAGAACGCGATGAACACTTCCGGTTCACTGGCCTTCGACCGCATCGCCGTAATCTGCAGCTTTCGCACTGAAATCGCTGCGGGTTAACGAGGCCAAATGTTCCGCGCCGATATTACGAGAGCCCGTACGACTTACCGTGCATGTGTGAATGCGCGTGTGTGTGTGTGTGTATGTGCGTGCGCGCGCTCGCGTGTGTGTACGTTCGTGCATGTGCGCGCAGTGGATTCGTGACGGAATTAGATAAAAACCGAATTGGGCACAGTCAGATCGGCTTGTGCAATCCGCTATGCCGCGGAAAGTCATACGGAATATATGCAGTGACATATCATTTGCGTGCCAATATTAGTAAGGCTGTAGCTAATATCTCATTCCTACAGCAAGTCTGAATCGTAGAGAGGAGTTAGTTTCGGCATTGCATTCGTGATTTTCTATTGTCGTGACGTATTGTACTGGATTTTATAGCGTATCGTGTGCGTTACACTATAATTTGTTTTCTCCACTTTCTTCTCGATCTTCTTACAAGTTTTATAAAAAGTATGGATCTAAAAGGCCTCACGCGCGGTCACCGCTTCCGCTAAATGCACAGTCGGAGTTTCGCGTGCGCGCGAGAAACATTGCAAAAAGGCGTGAAAGAAAATTCGGGGCAATAACATTCAGCATATTCGTGCGGCTGATGAACGGTTACACACTATCGTATCCTCACATTCCGACGTCCGCAAGAAATTATGTGTCCGTAAATTATGCATCGCTCTGTTGCGAACAAAGTTGCATGACGCGGTAAAATGCTAAAATGGAAGCAGTTGGCTTTAAGCGTAAAAACGTTCGCATGCGCTACCTTATCACAGGCAATCGTTAGTTTAAACGGGCAATTGTTAGTCTAAACGAGCGCAAGGGAAGAAAGTTTGAGCATCGAATTCTTTAATTATCTGTGTAACTTATATCACACCTCGTCTCATTTTATGTTTCACGTGCTCTTCACAAATCTTTACAGTGGATCTCGCAGGGAAAACATCGTGTGTGTTAACAGTTGATCCAAACGACACTTGACAAGAATGCAGATTTACGCATTCTTCTCTTATTTCTTTTATCACGCTCAAGTTGTCGTATTCTCTCACGCGCTCAATAAAATCCCACGGAGTAACGTTTCGCCTCGAGCTGAAGGTTTCGCGCGTCTCACGAACGGGGCGAATCTCCCAGGCGGTTCTTCCTCGGCGATTTTAAGAAATTCGCCAGACACGTCGAAAATGATTCACGCGAGCGATTAAAACGTCGGAACCGTGATTTCGCGCCGTAATTCGAGGTAAATTTCCGCCGCACCGGGATTCATACGTGAGCCGTTCGCGCGGCTTCCGTATTTGCATCGTCGCGGAAAATTTGAAATTCATGGTCTGAGTCGGTCGTCGGTACCCATCCAGAAGTGCCGTCGCGGCGAGAGGAACGGCGTCATTGTTACCGGTTCTCGTTTATTTCGAGGGAGCCGTGCAATTACGCAATATTCATATCCCCGCCGGTGTTTCTCGTCTGGCTGGCCAAGAAGGGGTTGTCGAGAGGCGCATGGCCAGCCCACTGCAAAAAGAACGAAGCGAGCCTCTCGGGAAAACTGCTTTCGATGCGAGACGGTCAGCTTCGCGCGTGTGTGCCGTACGCCGGATGTATGTGCCAGTGCAACACTGAAAGGTGGATGATTAGGAATCAGATAGAAATTGTTCGTGATTCAAGCGTGTCAGGCAAGTTAGAGCGTCGACAAATGAATATTCAATTTCCTTGATTTGCGAATAATCGATCGTTCGAAAGGGATTCTAGACTTCGGGTTTAGTTGTCGCGATAATAATGAAGGAAGATAAAATCATGAGAATGTGCTGCGAGCGATAAAAAAAAACATATCCGTGTAAAATTGTTGAAACAATGCGGAAAGGCACGTTTCTAGTGGAACAACTACAACTGGAGGATAGTACGTATTTTTTCAATTTCTTTATTAGCCGTATTTGCTGATTTAGCACACACACACATACACAGACATACACGTCCATTTACGACAACGAATTTAAAGTTATTACGTTCGTAGCTTTTTAAACGTCATTAAAAGAAATATTGCATAAACAATTCAGCCGTACGCTTTCGCCGTGTGAAATTTCGATATCGATCAAGTGCTCGGATACGTTTCTGGCACAATAGTTCATTTGCGGATTCAGTTCATCTGCGCTGCCTCGGAAAAGCGCGCGCACTCGATATTCAGAGAATTTGTTTCGCGTCCGAACACTCGGAGACCGAATGGCACCATGAGAAAGATGCGCGCACAATATTCGCGATGTGTACTTCCTCACGTGTTGTTTGTCCTTTCCTCTATTTACGTATCGTGCGTGGGCCTGAATAACCGTTCATTAGCAATTTTCCCGTGGTCGAATATTTTTCCCGTAGCAAACGCGCAACTGTTTGTCTGTACAAAGAGCAAGGACATTTCCGAGATCGCGCGTCGTGATTTCAATGTTAACGAATTCATGATTTCAGTATTTTCTATCGACATTTGTTACAACTATCCACACAGATTCCGTTTGAGTATAACCGAAAGATTCAATTCTCCAATCAATAAGGTAATGGTCCTAATTATAGATCAGGTTAAGGTTGGAGTAACTTTCAATCATTTGCATAAATTTGTCGGTCGAACATTAGAACGAGCTGTTCAATATGAACTAACACACACACACACACACACACACACACACACACACACACACACACACACACACACACACACACACACACTATAATTTTAAAACACAATTATTATATTTTAAATTAGTTTATATTCTAAATTATGAAAACAATAATTTAAATTATAAAAATTAAATTATAAATAAAAATTTTATAATTTTTAAATTATAAAAACAAGAAACTTTCGTACGTCGGGAGACGTTACGCGCCCGTATAACGGATTATACGATATCCATTTTATATTAATATAGAAAAGATTCGTTCGACGCGCGGAATTCCGTTAGAAAGGTACGCAATCGATCGTGACCGCGATAATGTTAGTGTATCATGTTATTTGTATCATCTTGTATTGTATTCAGCGGAGACGTATTTAAGTCAGACAGAGACGAACACGACAACACTAAGTGAAGACAACGTAATTTCGAAGGACACGATGAACGACTGTTTCGATAAAGCGACAAGGTGAAATTGACCGCTCCGACATTCCACCATTGTATCCAGATCTATTAAATAAATATCATTTGATTAATCAACAACTAAAGGGAATTCTCAACCTATATTAATAACAATGCCCGGACTTAGGAAACTTTAGTTAGTATTGCGGAAAATGCTACGAGAGAGAAATGCTGTAGAATAATTTCATCCTTCCGCTATTGAATCTACATTATCACGCTCATCATCTAGCGACGGTTCTTTAGTAGCCAATCTTTCTTACTATTTGTTGACAATGTTGCAAAAGATCAATCGGATCGCTTTAATAATGTATTCACATTGTTTTGGTCTATATAAACAAATAGCATATATATATAGCACAATCCATTAGCAGTTTCATAAAGCTATAGAGTCGATGAGGCAACTGATATATCCTAGTTTGTCTTCTTAAATATTAAGAATGTTTGTGAATAAACCTCAAAATATAATTGTAAAAGAACTAAGGAATATAGAAAAATTTTCCCATGTTTTCGTTATGATGTGCACTTTTTTAATACATTAATGAACCGGGCTAATGATCGAAATTAGGACTCTACCCATAATTGGGACCTGCTACCTTACTTGTGTCACCATTCGAAGCTTCAGTGAAAAATGATCGTCTCACAGAGAAAATTGCTTTGCAATGGTAAAATTCGTGAGTCTGATTGTCCTTTATATTCAGCTAAGATTAAGAGCCGATCAGATTCACGAATTTTATGACAGTTGCAAGGCAGCTTTCTCTGCTGAACGCAATCATTTTGACCTGCCGAATCTTACCTTCATGCGGGAACACGACGATCTGGTCAGTTTTTCCGTAGAAGCTCTCCGCCGGTTTATCCGGCACGAGCGGTGCTCCAGGTCGAAGTTCGAGCACATTGCCGTTTATCAGAGGCTTCGGCAAGGTCGACAGCGGCATCGAGACCGCGGGCGGCTTCGACAGCCTTAGCTTCTTCAGTATCTGCTCCTTCACATACTCCACCCTCAGCTCGGTCAACGGGTCCTTATCGATTTTATTCTGCCTCGACGAGAACTTGATGAAGTTTTGCATTTTCGGCCAAGCGCTCAAAACGGAAGCGTTGTTCGCGCTGAAAATTATGACTAACACAATGAACAGACGCATTTTCTAACTGCTGTAGACTGCAGATAACAGTCGAACTCGATTTCTCGATTGGACGGCTGGAGCCACTTTGGTTAATCAACCGACAATTCACTCGAACTCCTCAAGTACTGATGGTTACTGAAGTTCCATAGGACGGACGTCCCAACTACACCCGGGTTAACTTGACGCATGGATTCCGTGTGTAGTATTTATTACCAATATTTATCAAGTCGATTATATCGAGCTGGGGGCTTTTGCAATCTTCCTTTTTATGAAGTTGAATGTGACAATATCAGCTACAGTCTTGTTGATAAACATTGATTTTCTCTAAAGATAAACAACCAGTAAGAAAGATTGATTAGTAAAAACCATTTTCTTTTTTGCCAGAGATGTTGGGTAGATATTTGAAATCTAATAGCGAGAGGATAAAATGGTTCAATGTAACGTACACGTCTAGTATTTATTTCTATATTTATCAGAATACGCCGGTGTTTATTTATTTATTTATTTACAAGCTTTTAACACGTACATAGAGTATTGCATAATAGCCAATTGCTACGTTGAACTGATTCTTTATTCTGCGAATATCTTTAATATTAAGTATTTTCTAAGTATACATGTCCCGGACCTAGGAAACTTTAGTTAGTATTGCGGAAAATACTACGAGAGAGAAATGCTGTAGAATAGTTTTATCCTTCCGCTATTGGATTTGTATTATCACGCTCATCATCTAGCGACGGTTCTTTAGTAGCCAATCTTTCTTACTGCTTGTTGACAATGTTGCGAAAGGTCGATCAGGTCGCTTAAATCATCGAGTCGGTATCTCGCGAGATTCGATTGATGGAACCGGTTTGCGTCGGTTGGCCACGGCTCCGTGGCTCTTCTTCTGCTTCTTTCTCTTTTTCTTCCTCTGGAAGCACTATTTTCCCACTCTACGGACACCAACTTACGGGCGTCGAGTCTCTGCGCGTACGGAGGTGGAGGCTCGACCTCTTAGTCGTGTCGCGAACCGATTTCTAAGCACGTTCTCCCGGGGTGATCGACGCTGTTCTGAGCGACGCGTTCACGAAGACTGGAGGTAAATCGTCACGATGGTCCAGTGATGTAGTTGACTCCGCGGCCATATGAACTTTGCACCGCCGCCGCCGGCGGAGCCAATGCGGATTGGATGGCGATGGGTGATGCTCTTATCAGCGGCGCAAGCACGCGCCGCGAACATGTCGCCGATGGGATTCCGTGTGTCCATCCTCGGTTCCTGGTTGAATTCCCTAGTTGGCCGGTTCTGCCTCTTGCTGGGTCATTAGAAGTCGTCTCGACTCCGTTGGAAGGTGTCCCGTTCATCATTGACCGATGTTCCTGTGAATTCCGCCAATTGTTCTTCCTCTCTTGATGAGACGAATGTAGCTTCTTAATTGGTTGGTAGTTAAAACGAGGCGAGATAAGCTGCGTGTCAATGATACAGATGCATTAAGACGTTGTCGTGAAGTATTTCGAGGGAGATATCTTCACAGAACCGCGCGTATCTTTGGAGCACGGCTGTACATTTTTAAATTTTTCAAATATGTGTTTTATAAACGAATTTTTTCGGCAATTCAAGTATCAGATTTTAATAAACAAAACCGAACTTTTTGTTTATTTTACGGACCTTTAAGTTTTGAAGTATTATCTTGTGATAATAGCGTTGTTTCATTAAAAAATCTGAAGAATTTTTTTGCAATCTTGACTATAAATTAATGTAAAAAATGTATAGGATCTCTCTCTCTCTCTCTCTCTCTTTCTCTCTCTCTTCATTAGAACATCAGTATAGAGAAATAAGTTGGATTTTTAAGTAGTCATGTGACGATTCATCAAAGTCAGTCACTAAAGTTGTGATTATACTGATACACTGCAAATTCATGTTATTGCTAAACACGTAAGTGTAATTTGGCTGAAACTCTTTTTGCATGTTTCTTGTTGTTTTAAGTCGTTTAATACGTGTTTGAGAGAGGCGTGTAAATTATAATTCAATACGTTTTAGCTTGTTAAGTGACGCGACTTAAAACAACGATTCAGCTGAAATGACACACTTGGATTGATAATGTACCTTCGGTGTGTGTGTCGTGACGTGAGTTCGATTTACAACTAAACTGAGAATGTCCATATCGCTCGATTGTGCTCATTAGAATCGCAAGGCGAATGTTTACCGGGAAAAAGACTGATGTCTTAGCTACGTCATAGATTGGTGTCGACGTTTCTTTAAGCTGAGCCCTGCAATTCGCGGTTCATCGGAGCTCACGCGTTACTTATAGAAGATGACCCATCTCGCTGACCCGGAAACGTGGAACATCTTTTTGCCCTCCTTGACATATCTTGAACACCGAGGTGAACTTAAAAAATCACGGAGCGTTTTTTAAACTGTCCACCGAGATTATTTATGTATCGAGTCCGACAAGACTGGAATTTCCTTCGAGAGATTTGCTTTGTATTGGGAATATCGCACTGAAGAACACTGAAAACTAAAATTTGGTTAAAATGGGATCAACCGAATGTTTGGTAATCGTAACTGGAACGTTTAATTGCCTGCTTGTGGGCTTCGCTTTCTCACTAATGCATTCTACTTTGACACGAGTGAGAAACATGGTAAACTCCAACCAAATCGCGTGTCCCGAATATTTTTTTTTCCAAATATAAAAATAATTTCTTCAGCGCGTGGTGAAACACGCTCGCACCGGTTGGACCGGTTGCGCCTCGTCTCTCCGATTTAACAAACCATGCGATAACGTTTCTCGTGAAAAAGAACTCTCGTAAAGAAACACGTTAAGCGCTTTATACGTTTTCCGCTGTTCGTCGATGTAATTAACAATCGCGGCGGAACCAGTCTTCGTTACGCGCGCCATTTCGGCATTTGAGCACGGGCTCTCTTTTTTCTTTCCCACCCCTTCCCCCTTCCCATTCGTTCCCGTTGATTCGTTGGACCTCATGGTTCGCGGTGGAAATTATAGCCAGAGTCCTCCGCGTTGAATTATTCTGTAATTTGCGCCCAACGCGGCGCGTGTAATCAGCAGTTCGCGCACGTAACGCTCATTTGTAGATCGCAGCGTTTGTTTGCGTTATCTTATTATCGGTCGTTACCGAAATATAATTTTTCGAATTGACGGACGTAACGTCGTTACTCAAATAATGCGTTATATGTTGCGTTGTTTCGTGAAAAAAAAGTCCAACTGCTCGGTATAACACGAAATAACGCGACACATTATTCGTAATATTCCCCACACTTCTGGAATTATGTGCAATTGTACGGTGTAATTAGATGTCGTCAATCAGATATCGATGTTGAGAACATACGTTAACGCGAAGGGAAGATTACACTCGGGTATTAAGCGTAATTATTTACCTCGATTGGAAAGGAAGCACGTATTTCTAGATTTATCGAATATCGCACGGGGAACGTCTTCCGTAAGTACAATTGATACTTTTATATGTAATATATATACTAAGTTTACACGACAGCTTAAAACCGGTTTAGTAACAACTGTATTTAGTAAACTCTCGTATCCGATTGGTATATTCTTTTTATTATGTGCATGCATAAATTAATGCAGATCTCCTGGTTTTATTATCCCACCGGAAATACGTTGGTACATTTCTATAAATGTAACGATTACTTCCTTCGATTTACTTCAAATTACATCACGAGCGCACTCGCGCGAGTTTAATAACGAGCGTGAGAGGGAGGCGGGGGGAGAGAAGAAGTGGTCGTAGTGGTGGGCGAAAACTTTTTGTCGCGAACTTTCCGGAGGTTTAATTTCCGACGAGTATATAACGAGAACGATCCGCGGCGTTTAACACCGCTGCCGTCAAAGGTGTCGGATTCGACGCGAGCTCGGCGTCAATGGCGACGCGCGAAACTTTATTATTACGTGGGCAACACGGTAATTTAAAATCGCCGTCAATTACAGACCGTGCATAATGAATAACGATGAAGCAGTAATCAGCGGTGAGATAATTGGGGAACTACACAGTTGCTCGGTAAAGTCCGTCTTTCGCGGAGGAGAGATGGATAAAAGTTGATTATTTCACGACGGTATCGCTGAAACGCGTGAAAAAGAAAAAAAAAAAAAAGAAGAACGTATCGGAGAACGCGATCTTTATGCACGCGCGACTTTCTACAAGGGCAAAGAGCGACGCTATTCTTCCTCTTATATGTTTCTTTCTTCGTTGCTGTTTCTTGTACAGTTAATCATTAGCCGCTAATGAAACTTGAAAGAGAGATATGTCGTATGTTCTGTTCCGAGAAGTTCGTTCACTCTTACGTTAAGCCTCAAAACAAAAAGCATAAAATAGTAGGATAACACGAGTTATCTAAGTTAGTCCCCCGAGTAAACAAAATCTCCTTTCGTGTCGCATTTTCTCTCTTTCTTAGTGATTTCATTTTGGGTAAGCCGATGTTCTTTCTCTGACTTGGTCTATAGGCCCGTAAACAGAAGAGCGATTACAATTTTGTAGGGGAGAACGAATTTTGCGCAACGCGATAGGGATGTCCGTTTCATGTATTATGAAGAGTGCGCGATATATCCATTGGCGCGTTGAAGTTGCCTCCGTCCAAAGATCACTTTATGGTCACGTTTTTTTCACGTGAATGCTCTTCGACATTGAAGACGTTGCTTAACGGTGATTGACGGCTGTGGAGGTTCCTTAGAACCCGAACGTGGCGGTCAAAAGGGCCAATGACCTTCTTTAACCGAAGTAATATCGCTAACGTTTACGCTGTACGGCACACTTTGTGTGCACATCACTTTATCTGCATGAAAATGTGATCGTGTAACACATTAAATGGTATACAACGTATCTCCATGCGATAGGATTGTATTTACGCATTTGTGTTATATTCTACATGATTAAACATGATTTTAATTTTGGTTTATATTTACTTAGCGATTTATCAAGTTTTACACACGGATATCGTTGAGTTGATATTATACCGTATGAGAATTGCTCAAACGCAAAGTGACAAATATGGTCGTCTCACGATTGTTTAACGTTTAATATTTGACGTTCGATTTGATGTCTTCTGAAGCGATATTTTAGCATCATATACTGAGAAAAAATTTATTAAATTTTAAAAAACGTTTGTTTGGATAGCACTGTGAAGATATTTGTATTATAATATTTAAATAATTAACATTAATATTTAAATTAAGTAATTATTTTTTAAAATTAAAGAAACAAATTTATATTTAAAACTTCTTTATTTAATTTTAGAAAATAATTACTTAATTTAAACAGATATCTTCACAATACTATCCAAACAAACGTTTTTTGAAATTTAATAAGTTTTTTTCTCAGTAGAGTAACATATCATTTAATTTTGCATACCCCTGTAGTAATGAAAAACATCATTATTGCACTTTTGGCTACTTTCAGTTCATCACCTCCTATTGTTGTTTCATCAATAGTGTACTTGCGTACTCGAGAATTGCGCAACTTTGTTCTGTTGGTTTTGTGGTTTTCAAACGTTTGGTACTCAACGTTTCGTGTTTCCATCAGAACTGATAAACTGATAAAAAAAAAAGACAGCTTCGGAGAAGGAAACAGAGTTACAGGTAATCAGTGTAATAATACTCTTTGTTGCGTTTACATCTCCGTCGAATTTCACGTGAGAGTTGGTAGTGCGTGAAACGCGTTTGCAGTACTAAATTAAAACCTACACGATTTAATTTATCCGCTCAACCTCGTCCGACTGACGTAACATCCTCCTGGACCAGGGCAATATCGCCGCGGCTGAAAAGCGGGCGCTATCGCGCAACGGTGCAGAGTACGAAAACATACGTTATCGGCGCATCGGTATTTTTACGAGGCGCAATTTGTTCCCCTTTACGGCCTGCGAACGGGAGTACCGGGCGTATCGCGCATTGGCGCCCTCAAAGCGCGGGAGAGAGAGGAATGCATTTGTGCATTTCGCGGCCGAGTTCGACAAATATTCACCTCGCTCGCTCCCTTGCGTGCACGGCGACGACGCCGGCTCACCTCGCCGGTGACGGCTGCAAATGCGATTTATCGACGAGTGCTTGGATACTCGATTCGAGGAGAGATGACGGACGGCTGAGACGCCACTGTAACGCGTATTCTCGGG